TCCCTCTCCCTGTAGATCCCAATCCCTGTAATGGGGGACACGGTCCTTCCTAAGAGAAGGATAGCTATGATTTCATTTCCAAAGACCCATGAATGAGAGACCTTAGTGACAAGTCTGTACTGAGGTGTAAATGATTGGTGGTGGTTATCTTCCTGAAAGCAGTCTCTTCTAAGACAGAAGAAGAGCTATGTGAGCATGGAGGGCTATAAAAAAGAGTGATACATTCACATGTGGGAGGGGAGAGGGAGAAAGCCACAGGGCCTTCCCCAACCCCTACCCTGCTGATAACTCTGAAGACTTCATTCCTCTCTCTCCCTGAGCTAAACCTGGCCAAGGCCAGCAAAACATTACAGGACCGGACTGTAACAGCTGTGACACTTGGGAAACTTCTTGATGCCTCTGAGTATGGACATCCTGGTGGGGGCTCTGGGTACCACAATACAATTGGATGAGTGTGGAAGTTTTAGCATCTCACTTGACCTTGCTGATGGGGGTGGGTCTGCAGTTTTCTCTGTGGTGTTTAGCTGGAAAAGAGAACTTACTGTCTAAAAGTTTTCTGTCTTGCTACTCTGGGGACTAGATAACATAGGTCTTCCTTGGGGCTTTTGATGTCTGTATCCAGTGATGTTTCCAGGTTGCTGGTTTCATCAGCTCAAGTTTGGAATGCATGAGGCAAACAAAGCAAAAGCCCAGGGGACTCACTACCAGGTCACTCCTTGGGTCCTGAAGTCCCTAGCCAGTCTGCCTTCTTCTCTCCACCTTTCAGAGTCTTCCTAGGCTTGTTTTATATACCATATCCAGAGGTTTTAATTGTATTTCTTGGGAAGAATAAGAAAAGTGGATCTATTCCATCTTCCCAGAAGCAAAACTCTGCCCTCTTTGTTTTGTTACCTTCTTTCAATGCAACATCTTTCCATGCAAATAAACATATTTCATATGATCATTTTAATGATGGTATATTCTTCCACAACACTGATATATATTGCTTTAATTAAATCAATTATCCTGTGGTTGGACCTGCAGGGTTTCTTCTCCCCCAACACGTTTCTGTTATGAATAACACCAAGTAGCTAAACATTTGTCATATTCTTAAGTATTCCCTTCGGCTAAATTTCTGGGCACTGGCACTGGTAACCTAAAGGGCATGCACATGATAACACTTCTACAAAGTGTATCTGATGCTCTCCGGAGAGCAGAAAGATTATAGCGAAGTATGCAACTGTGTGTACCTTGTTTGTACATGCAGCCTTCCTACCTGCAATATCACTGAGTATTATTTTTTTTAAGATTTATTTATTTATTTATTAGAGAGAGAGAGCATGAGAGGGAGGAGGGTCAGAGCGAGAAGCAGACTCCCCGCCGAGCAAGGAGCCCGATGCGGGACTCGATCCCTGGACTCCAGGATCATGACCTGAGCCGAAGGCAGTCGCTTAACCAACTGAGCCACCCAGGCGCCCTGAGTATTATTTTTTAAATTGCCAATCCAGTAAGTTAAAAATGGTAGGTATACCCCATTTCAAAAATTACCTTTATTTAGTTACTTGTGAGACTCGAGAGCAATGCTGGTGTTTTTAGTAGCACATTTCTAGGCACTGAGAGGAGAGATGGGGAAACCTGAGATTGAAAGCTTGAAAGGGTCCTCCAGGTAGAGTCAGGTCGTGGCAGTTTGTGGAACACCACTGCAATGTGGCAGCCCGTGGGCAGGACCCAGTGACCAGGCCAGACCCAGAGGGGCAGAGGATAGGGAGGTAGGAGGGCAGCGCTCATCTGATGGGACAACACATTTCCTCTGCCATTCACGGGGTCATTTAACTTCTCAGGAATTCTTGGGGCTGTTTCCTAAAGAAGCATCTGCCATCCATAGGAAATGGGTAGTTGTCATCACAGTGAATGGACTGAAGGCCCAATTTAATTGTTGTTCTATAACTACTGGCCTTATAATAATATAAATGAATACAGACGCACGCATGCGTGCACACACACACACACAGCCCTGGCCTGTTTCAATCCTGGTCTTCTCATCCATGCCACACTTAGTCACTATCAGACTATAATTAGCTTATGTTACAATTGGGCTGTAATGACAGTCACATAGGACAAGTGCAAGATGATAGGGGTTGAGCCTGATAGGGAGAGAGCTTTCTTCTTAGCAGTTCTCAGCAACGGCTTAGATTTCACCACTGACCATCCTGCTGCTCAATAAATGAATGTGAATAATAGTGATTTGCATTTGTTTGCAAGGGATTTTTTTTTTTTAAATTTGAGAGAGAGAGCAAGAGCTAGGGTGGGGGAGGGATAGAAGGAGAAAGAGAATCCCAAGAGGACTCCTTGCCCAGCACGGAGACCAACACGGGGCGCAATCTGAGGACTCCTAGATCACAACCCAAGCTAGAACCAAGAGTAGGCCACCCAACAGCCTGAGCCACCCAGGCGCCCCTGTTTGCGAGGGATTTTTAACTGTAAGTCCTTAAAGGCAGGAACTCTCCAGGTGTCCCACTCCCCAAAATCTGAGCTAATGACCACCTCATGTCATTGCTCCGTTTCAACTTGCTGAATTGGAATACATTGAATTGTGTTTCATGAAGTTGATTTGTCTAGACTCTGGCATAAAGGGGACCCCCCATGCTGGTGATGGCGGGCAGCCCAGGATACCTAGTACCCAGTGCCTTAAACGCACACTTGCTTCTTCAGGCTGTTTCATCTGGAGCCGTTAGATTTCGTCAAACAGCTCATGTCTGGGGTGCTGAGGGGCAATCTGATACTTTGGAGTACAGAACATGAGACTTCACACAAAGAGGCACTCACTCCTCCAATTACTGGCATAGAATTTGACCCCGCCCCTCACAGAAATTTCCATAAATTCCATTTTGTTCAATCCCCATCAATAAAAGGAAAAGGTGAATTTATAATTGTATGCACTGCATCATATGGTTTATTCCTGCCAGGAAAATACTTCCATTTTGATGAGACATTAATGAAAACAGAATATGCCAGGTACAATTACACCTTTGATGCCTGGAATAATTGTACACAGAGTAGCTTCTGGTAGCTTCTGGCCTGGTTTCGAACCCTGTTGTTCCTTTACCACTCACATCTGCCGGTGCCAAACACAGGAAGGCATGTTGCTAGAGTGACACAACCCCTAGGTCTGCCTTTCTGGGTCCCTGCGGCTGAGCTGGCACGGGGCCAGCTGAAGGATCCCTGAAGGCATTACGACCTGCTGTTCAAAGCTGGTGCCTGGGCTCAGGGGGAGCTCATGTGTCCCGATTCCCACCCCAACAAGGCCAGCCATGGTCAGGCTGTTCTGTCTATGACCGGTGCGTCCTGAGGTTGCCCAGCCCTGGGACCCGGGATATCCATTCGGCAAGCAAGGTATGCAATACACTGAGGTATGGAGCCCCCCACATTCTTCATTCTAGAAGTTACCAGAGAGCTTTGCACTTGGCGTTATTGATCACTGTCATTTCCAAAGGTGACACTGGAACCCCACTTGGCTCCTTGGACTGCATTTCAATGGTTGGAACCCAGACTCAGGGAAAATGGATTCTTCGTCCTCCCTCACCAGGTGCTGATCATTTTACAGATACGGACACTAAGTTCAGCAGGATCTGTCTCACCATGGAACAGCCGGTGAGTGTCAGGGGAGGGGACCAGGTATAGGCATTTGCCACTGTGGCTCCCCAACTCCCTTGTCTGCCCCTCGCTAATTCTTCACGTTACGAGCCTTGCCATTCCCCGACTTCTCACATTCTCACATTCCTTCGCAGCTCATTGCACAAGCGGGACTCAGGTCCCACCAGCAGGATGCACACAAGACTGGATTCAGAAGCGCCCGCGCTGAGGAGGAGTCCTCATGCTGGGGAAGCCAATGTGCGGAGCCACGACGGTAGACATTCTGGGGTCTTGTCCCGAGCGAGGGTGGCCGTGGTTGTGGTGCTTTCACTGGGCAGCACCCATTCTGCTGATCCGGACTATGTAGCTTCAGAGCTTGCCGAGCCTTTCCGGATTCTGGGACCCACCTAATACCTTTAAAGGTTTTATATATTTATCGAGAAAGAGAGAGAGAGAGCATGAGCAGGGAGAGAGGGAGAGGGAGAAGCAGACTCCCCACTGAGCTGGGAGCCCAGTGCAGGACTCGATCCCAGGACCTGAGGGTCCCAGGACCCTGGGATCATGACCTGAGCTGAAGCCAGACGCTTAACTGACTGAGCCACCCAGGCGCCCCAGCCACTTTATACCTTTAAATAAATTCTTTTCTTGCTTAAAATAACAAGAGCTTATTTTGTTGTCTGCAACACAAAAATCTGACCAATGTTAACCGAAACCCAAGAGTTTGGATTCCCAAAGTCAGAGCTTTTTTTTTTCTCTCGGTCCACCATCAGGTATTCGCTTTAAACTCACATCTTATTAACCTTCTCTCTTTCTCCAGATACGTAACCGAAAGTAAAGGACAGAGGGCAGCAGGGAAGAGAAACTTGGACCTTGGGACTGTCAGAATAGACAGTGGTTGGTGGGTGACAGGAAAATCCAGGGCACTGCATCCCACGAGGGGGAATCAGGAGAGGTGGAAACCCAGACAGAATCAGGACGGGCACCAGACAAGAACACACATTTACCAAGCAAAGACTTGGTGCCAGGACACGTTATAAACAACAGCAAAACCAAAACTAAGTATCTAAGGTAGGTATTCCCAGCATTTCTTACCTCCCTCTTTCCAAGGAGAGTTCTCTGTTTAAGTTCTTCAGCTCCAATGTCCTTATGTGGGAACAGGTCTCATGAATAAGCCAAAGAAATGCCTCAGAGTTATGCACGGAACAAAGAAGAGGGACAGAAAGGGAGAGGAGGGGATTACAGGCTGGTAGTAGGAGGGAGGGCAACAGAAATGAGACGTTGGAGAGAGAGGTACCACAATGAGGGAGACTCTGGAGAAGGTGACATTTTAGGAGGGTTGGGCAGATTTGCTGGCACTGCTGGTGTAACACCCCTTCCCTGGCCCCCCCTTTCAAGAGCCTTCAGAAAGTCTCACATTACTCTTTAAGAGTTTTAGTATGCATTGGTTCTTCTTCAGGAAGCATCGCCATTCCGGGACCAGTCTTAAGCAGGAACAGATGCATTATCTCATTTGACATTCATTATAAGCCTGTGAGATGAACACTGTTGTGATTTCATTTCTCAGCCTAAGAACCTGAGGATCAGAGGGTTTTATGGCTTATCCAGAGTCACACAGCTCTGTAAGCGGGGAGACTGGGATTTGCATCCAGACCGAAAGGATTCCAAAACCCTTGCGTAGAGGAAGGTAGAAGAGACAATACGTTGATCCCCTTCAAATCACAATTTGCCCATTTGCTTGCTGGGGCTGGTCACATGGATTTGGGAATTCCTGAGCTGATGTAGGGGTCTGCCAATTACTTAGATCTGTAACTTAAAAAAAAAAAAAAGACGAGGAAGAAGAAGCTATGAAGTCCTACACAACAACTATTCCCACAGCCTAAGGACAGAACCTCCAAAGCCATAATTAAGACCTGCGTTAAGTTATTCAGAAAATAAAAATTCATTAAACTGCAAAGATAAGACAGGTATGCAATAATACCCCCTTGGTTTGCTAGTGATGTAACCCATTCTGAAGGCAATTCAGTTCATACGCACTTTTTAAAAGTTTAAATGCAATGACCTCACGGTTGTTTATATCCACACAGACCCCAAAGTGATGACACTGGAGGGAAGCCTCCACTATGTAATAATTTTAGTCTAACGTGCTAGAACCAGGCCTGGGAGAAACTAACCGCTCTGCAAGTCTAAGAGCATCACAAAGGCTCTCTTTTATCCTGGCCACACCCCTAAGACTTGAATACAATGAGGCACAGCTTATAAATGATTCACTGGGGCTGCGAACGGGTAAGTGATCTGCTCAGTCACTCAGCTTCTGGTTTTAATGAGGAGACCATAGGTCCCGGCATAAGGACAGCCCGGGGTTCTACCTGTTAAAGTGTCCCGCTTCGTTCTCATAATTTTCCCCTCTTAGATGACAATTTGTAGGGTCACCCTAGTCATCAGTGGCAACACTGACGTGAACCCACATCCGACTTACCCTATGGCTCTCGGTCACTGGGCTCTCCAGGCCTACATAGGGTACATTTCCATGAAGGCACCCTTTTTCGGTGAGTCTCGAGTGGGCCCAGAAGTCCATTTTAAACGAGATCCCCAGGTGATTCCATTGCTGATGGTTGGAGCACCGTGTTTTGCGAGAGACTCTCCTGTTACCTTAAATATTAGTTTGCAAGGGCTGCCATAACCAGATATCACAGACTGGCTTCAACAACAGAGGTTTATTTTCTCACAGTTTCCTATGCTGGAAGTCCAAGATTAAGGTGTTGGCAGGGTTGGTGTCTTCTTTTTTTGTTTTTTAAAGATTTTATTTATTTATTTGACAGAATGAGACAGCGAGAGAGAGAACACAAGCAGGGGGAGTGGGAGAGGGAGAAGCAGGCTTCCTGCAGAGCAGGGAGCCCGACGCGGGGCTCAATCCCAGGACCCCGGGATCATGACCTGAGCCAAAGGCAGGCACTTAACAACTGAGCCACCCAGGCGCCCCAAGGATTGGTGTCTTCTGAGGCCTCTCTCCTTGGCTTGCGGATGGCCTTCTCCCCATGTCCCCCCGTGGCCTTTTCTCTGTGCACACGGATCCCTGGGGTCTCTCTGCATCCAAATTTCCTCTTCTTCTTTTTTTTTTAAAGATTTTATTCAAATTTCCTCTTCTTGTGAGGATACCAGACTGATTGATTGGATTAGGGTCCACCCCAAAGGCCTCTTTATAACTTCATGACTTCTAAAAGCTTCCCCTATCTCCAAATACACTCACATTCTGAGGTCCCAGGAGTGAGGGCCTCAACATACAAATCTAGGGGGGCACAATTCAGCCCACAACACCTTACTAGGTACAGAAAAGGGTAATGGAAGAAAATTATAAAATCTTCTTTTCTGGGGGTCTTCAGAAGTAAAGCAAAGTCACACCTGTGAGAAACAGGTGTGAGCCAGGTACAAGGTGAGACCTTGTTCATCCCATCACTACCACTGGTTTGGAGGCTCTGAACGTTCTTTGGCCCACTAGTGTGAGTTCCAGAGGTGGCTGGGAAGAGATGCTTTTTCGTCCATGACCACCATCACCACGCCCTCCCCCATCCCCAACTGGGTAAAACAGAGCAGCAAAATCAAAGACCTCTGCTGCTAGAAGGTGGGAATGGGTGGCAAGTCGGATGCAATTTGGATTAACCTACACGGCAGACAGTTACTTTTGTACCCTAACGACATTCCTACTCTTCCTTCCTGACAGAGGTTACCAGAACTACAAAGCAGGAGGCCTCCTGCTTAGTTGGAGCATGGGCATATGGCTGAATTCTAGTCAAGAGGAACCAAGCGGAAATGTCTTAGCTGGTTTCTGGAAAAGAATCTTCCTCTGGTTAACATAGAGTATTAAATAGAAGCTCCATGCTACCTGCCTAGGACATGAGTATCTATAGATGCAATGCGTGGGGCTGCGACCTCAGGGAGAAGTGCCCTTAAGAAGCTGACCCGGAGCCCTCACCCATGAATCAATGCTGGAACCACCCTCTTCCAGATTTACCAAGTGAAGCAGTGAATATTTTCTAGTTGCTGAGCATCTTTTTGTAGGATTTCTATTACTTGTAAGCAAAAGCCTCCTACCTGATATAAGGAAAAGGACTCCAAACTTTATATTTTAAAGTGTTAATGGTTATATGGGACACCTGGGTGGGCTCAGATGGTTAAGCATCTGCCTTCAGCTCAGATCATGATCCTAGGGTTCTGGGATCGAGTCCTGCATCGAGCTCCCTGCTCAGTGGGGGGAGCCCGCTTCTCCCTCTCCCTCTGCCATTCCCCGTGCTTGTGCTCTCTCTCACTCTCTCTGACGAATAAATAAAATCTTTTATAAATAAATAAAAAAAGTGTTAATGTTTACTTGAAAATCAGCATATATTGCATATTTATTACAAAAACCATAAGCAAAGATAAAAATGTATATAGAAATCAATCTTATAAGATTATACTCCATGTAATTATTTTTAATAATCCAATTTATGTCCTAGTTTATATCCCTTTTCCAGACATATATACATATATTTATTTTACAAAAATGGCATCATATTCTGCCCCTAGTTTTGTAATCTGTTTTATGTCTGTGCCTAATAGTATATCATGATGTTCTTTTCACATTTTTGATGGTGGCAAAGCATTCCCTTGTGTGTATGTACCATAATTTAAATGACCTTACATGGATGTTATAGTTTTTAACCACTATAACTGCTTTTATAAATACCATGATAAACATCTTATGTATATAAATTTGCTCACTTAACTGATGACTTCCATAGGATAGATTCAGAAAGTGCCACCTGAGTCAAAAGGTACTGTATGATGCCTTTAAGGATTTGGGTCTGAATTTCAAAATTGCTCTCCAAGAAGGCTGTAGCACTGTCTTCTCCCACAGTCTGTAAGACACCCTGTTTCTGCATGCCTTCCCCAACGCTGGATGTTATTCTCTTAAAGCATTGCCAATCTGATAAGCCCAAAAGGAAAATTTCTCTGATTTTTTGGTAGGCTTTTGATTACCAGATAAGGGTGGGCATTTTGGCTTCTTGTTGAAAGCTCAGCTATCTCAGAGCACAGGAGATTTCTTTCCTATTTTACTCAAACACAGGCTTGAGAGGCCCCTGAGCACCTGCCGTGACAGCGAGCAGCCCCCACTCACTCTCCCCAATTGATTCCGGGACTCAGTATGCCTGTTGGGGTGAATTCTCCTTCTAGCCTGCCTCGGTGACAGCCTGTTACTCAAGCAATAGTGTGGCCCCACCCCAGCCTCTTTTTAAACTAACAACTTATCTTCTGTTGGCGAGTTTCAACCCTGGCTGCACATCAGGATTATCTAGGCAGGTGGGTTTTTGGGTTTTTTTTAACTTTACTATAAATTTTATTTTCCTTCATGAATAGGTAACATATGACTCACAACAACAAAAAAAAATTAAGGGGTATTCAGTTAAAAATCTCCCTCCATAGCCCCAAACCACTCCATCATCTTCCCCAGATGCAACCAATGTCATGAGTTTTTTGTGGATACTTCCAGAGATATGAGTAGATTTTAAGAAGCGCCCCTTCTGGGTCCCCACGCCAGGCTTTCTATATCAGAATTTCCAGGATGGAGAATCTGAAAACTCAAATTTTTCTTTTTAAAGCCCACAATGTTGTTAGGTGATAGCATTTAAAACAACTACTTTAGGTTGCCATTCGTTCATTCATTCAACACATATTTATTGAGCAAGCTCTTTTATTGTCAGACACTATGCTTGGTGCCCTGGGACAGCAGTGAACCAAAAAAAGTCGTTACTCTCATGGAGCTTAGATAGTAACGGGGGGAGAAACAGAAAATAAACTGTAATTATCAGAAAGTGAGACATTCCATGATGAAAACTAGTCTTCCAATTGCTTGTATCTCAACTTAAACCTCCTTCCTCCTCTTGGAGATTTTTCTTAGTCCCTCCATTAGAAGGCAGAGGGAAGATAGGAAGAAAAAAGAAGCAAAATGTGTCAGGCAATTAGATGCTTCCCAGAGCCCAAATTCTGGATGAGCTCGAAGCTTGTGCCCAAAGTCCTTCTGGTGTGATGTTCATTTCTCTTCACTAGCACAGGGCATTGAATTCTTCATAAAGGCTTAGAAATAATTCTGAGAAATGTCAACTTGCTCATTACTCCAAAATAAAAAGTCTGATTCCTTCTTTTTTTCCTGCAATCCACAAAGACCTACACTAAAGCATTGCGGGGCCCCCACACAACCATCCCATGTGCCTCTCAAAGAGAAAGGTGGTTGGGTGTCTCCTTGACTTGGACACTCACAATATTCAGTTCAGCTCAAAAAAATACCATTACTGACATGCGCCGTGCCCTGTGGTAAGTACCATTA